AAGTCACACACACACACACACACACACACACACACACACACACACACATATATATATATATATATATATATGAAACATATGTAATTTCAGTTCCCTGTGTATTAGAAAAAGGAGAATTCAAATGTTTTGTTTCCTGACAGCTGATGAGCTGATGGTGACTGTTTTCTTAGTTTTTATTACCATCTCCTTCTTATTCTCAAATTTCATTGTTTTTAATTATTCTCTGTTATTTACTCTCACATTTAATCTTTGGGAAATTTATATGTATTTGATCATTTTCATACGTTCTTCAAACCTCACATTTACAAAATCTACCCATCCATCTTTGGGCTTTTTAAATTTCTTAGCATACAAATCATAGTTTGTGATGCCCATATGCTCTTGGTTGTGTGTTCATCCACTGGAGAATTGGGGACTTATTGAGGGCCACATTTTCAAAGGAAGCTGACTGCTCCTTTCCTAGTAGCTATCAGTTGCCAATAGCATCTTAGGGGTTACTCATTTCTCTGAGGCTAGACAGTTTCCTTTCTGGTCTCTGCCTTTTACTAGTTGCTGGGACCTTGGAAACCTGCATTGTGTCTCTACCCAGGACACTTTTCTGAAAGAAACTTGAACATTAGTCCACCTCACCAGTACACTTGTGTAGTTTAAAACAGGTATTAATTGTTAAGCACTTGAAAAAAATGCTAGTACCTATAAATGGCAGTATAAAGTTTAACTTTTATCTCAATGTTCAAGTTAATTATCTATAATTCAAACACTAGCAAATCATTGAGTCCTAGTGAACTACTTACTAGTAAAACACATTTTAACATTGCTTATAAATGTAAGGTAATAATATCTTAGCTTTACCATGTTTGGCATACTAAGACAATTAAATTCCAAATTGTCTAACAAGTGTCCTCTGAACCTGTTGTGCAGTGACCCAGGACCAGGACAGAATGGCCTCCGGAGACCTGGCTGTAGGAATCTTCTTCATGTTACAGACTGCCCTGGGAATGCTGGGGAACTCGGCCTTGTTTTGTTGTCTTATCGTTGCTGACTTTGCTAGAATCAGGGCGAAGCCCACAGACCTGATTGTCAAACACCTGACCTGGGCCAACTTCATAGTTCTCTGCAAAGGAATCCCGCAGACCACTGCTGCTTTTAGTCACACTTACTATGTAGATTATATTTCATGTAAACTTGCCTTATATTTTCATAGAGTTGGCAGAGGAGTGTCCCTTAGCTCCACATCCATGCTGAGTGTCTGTCAGGCCATCTCCATCAGCCCCAGCAATTCCAAGTGGGCACAGCTCAAGGTCAGAATCCCCAGGATCACTGGTCCTTCCCTGGGACTTTGCTGGGCCCTCCAGCTGTTATTATATGTCTTTCTTCCCATATACACAACTGATACATGGTATGGAAGAAATATGACTGGGATTAAAGATTTTGGATACTGTGTTGTTATAAGTTCTGGGAGACTAATCAGTAAACTTCTTGTCCTCCTATTGGCATTCAATGATGCTGTGTTTTTGGGGCTCATGTTGTTGTCCAGTGGCTACATGATATTTATCCTGCTCTAACATAAGCAGAGGGTAGAACAGATCCAGAGATCCCTGTCTCCTAGGTCAAACTCTGTGATGAGAGCAACACAAGGCATCATCACCCTGGTGAGCGTCTTTCTGTTCTTCCATATAACCTCTATTGTCTTTACCTCCTATCTCTCTGTCTTTGCTGGGACCGGTAGGTGGCTGTCCAATGCAGGTGTGGCCATGGCTGCATGCTTCCCAACGTTCTGCCCCTTTCTGCTCATCAGACACCACACCTCCCTTTTCAGGCTCTGCTGTACCGGTTCTCCTCCGACAAAACAATGTGCATGTGTAGTCAGAGTCTAAATGCTGTGCCGTCTGCAACACTCTTCTCATGTCTTCTGCTCAGTTTTCTTCTGGGAACACACTGTCAATACCAACTTCACAGTAGACACTGATTATCGGCAGAGTTTCATCAGAATGCAGTTTGTAACATAGTCTGGGACACAGGCAATCCATGGTGGATGATGTGAGTGCTGAAACAATCACCACTTACTTTATAAAAATGTGACCATCATAGTAGCACAGGCAATTAGCTGTGGGGGTTTTGCAGAATATGGTGCTTTTAGTGAGCATCTATGAGAATGGGATTTTTTGTTTTGCTTTGGCTTGTTTTTTTGTGAGAGGTTTCTGTGTATTGTTTTGGAGCCTGTCCTGGAACTCACAAAGATCTGTCTGCCTCTGCCTCTCAAGTGCTGGGATTAAAGGCATATGATAGTTTGATCCTTACCAGGAGGGGAGAAAGGATCACAGAGAGCTCTGAGATCACCACTGCCACCCCTGACCTAGTCATCATCACACCCCAGGAGAGGCTGCAGCCTTTGGCAAGGTCCCAGTCACCACCAATGTAACCATGAGCAGCAAGGCAAAGACCCAGCAGATGCCAGCTGCCCCAACAGCCGCCCTCAGCACTGCCCAAGAAACCAGCAGCAGCAATGTGTAGCACCCACCTCGGGGAACAAAAAGTCATTGCAAGGAAGGTTTTGGTAACAGCAAAATGGTTCAATGTAAGCAACGGATACAATTTCATCAACAGAAATGGCACCAAGGAAGACGTATCTGTACACCAGACTGCCATAAAGAAGAATAAACCCAAGAAATACCTTCGAGGTGAGGGAGACAAAGAGACTGTGGAGTTTGGTGCCCTTGAAGGAGAAAAGGGTGCGAAGGAGGCAGCAAATGTTTCAGGCCCTTGTGGAGTTCTAGTCCAAGGCAGTAAATAAGTAGTAGACCTTAACCATTAAAGAAACTATCCACGTCAGAGGGGCCCTCCACGCAACTACCAGCAAAATTACCAGAATAGTGTGAGTGGGGAAACGAAGGAGGGATCAGAAAGAGTTTCTGAAGTCCAATCCATTATAGGCCCATTATAGGTCTGTCACTAGGGAGATTTCCAGAGATCTACAAGGATGACACCAACTGACAGTCTGCGCAATGGTGGAGAGGCTATCCTAAGTGCCCTGTGATGAGACTGATGACTGCTTTGTATACCATCCTTGAGCCCTCATCCAGTGGCTGGTGGAGGTAGAGGCAGACACCCTCATCTGTACACTGACCTGAACTCTGGAACCCAGTTCCAAAGAGGGAGGAATGAAGATCAGGATGGTGAAATCCACAGAGGCAACGGGCCTGACTAGGGGAAGGCCTAGGCTCAGCCCAGGATGAGGTGGTGGATTTGGGGAGCCCCCATGGAGGGCCACACCCTCCCTGGGGAGCAGAAGGAGGATGGAATGGGGGGCTTCCCAGGGTGGATTTCTGGAAGGGAGGGGTAGGAGAGGGAGAAGGGATTGACATGTGAAGCAAGCTTGTTCCTAATTTGAACTAATAAAAAAGTTTAAAAAAAGAAAGTAGCGATTTTCCAGTTACTTGGAAAATCACCATGCAATCAAGAGATGCTTGTCATCCCCAGGAGACCTGATATATCAGGTCAGATTCCTTAGTTACAATGCCATGTTTCTTCATTGCCACCAGAAATGTTCAGGATGTGCACTGGGCACACTATTGATCTGAAGGGTAACACAGTCTTGAAAAGTAAATGAAGGATCACAGAGGCAATCAAGCCACATGACAGAAATAAAGCAGAGAAGTAAACTGAGGGAATGTGAAAGACTTGGGGAAACGTGGGAGACAAACTCTGAACTGAATATAAATAAAGACAGATGTCTCACGAGCGGAATTTTGAATTGTAAGATATTTTTGTAAACCCTATTCTGGATGGCAGAGATCTTTGTTTGAAATGTTTTTATTTCATGAGAAACTTCCAGATTAGCTAAGTGTAACATTGCTAATAGAACGAAAACAGCACCTCACTGTTTAAACCTGGTTTGAAACCAACATAATATTTAACTCTAGTACAGACATGTTAAAATCCCTCCTAAAAGTATTCAAAACTCAGACACCAGACAAAACGTGAACTTCCTGCTCTTTCCTTCCTTTCCTTATCAGAAGTAGTGGGGGGTCCATGCAGTGATTTAATGCCTGCTATTAACAATTCTAGATTTTTAAAGATACACACACACACACACACACACACACACACACACACACACACACACACATATATATATATATTAGAAATATCATTTATTCTCCATTATACCCACATAGTCTGCCTAACCTTAAGAGGAAAGGAAGAAATAGAAAACCTCAAACACATAGCAGCCCCTTCCATTCAGAAACAAGCATCTGCTCAGCATGTAAGAGCTTATTTTTTGTCTCATGACTGTATACATGTCTTGGCTATGAATGTTTAGTGAAGGAGGAGTAATGATGAGGTCTTTTTCTTGGAAAAGAGAGTCAATTTCTGCCAGGGCTCTGACAATGAAGAAGAGAGAAGTGTTGCCTTGATCCTGTGCAGGGAGCAAGCTACTTATATGACAAGGGTTTTCTAAAAGATGTCTACCATGCATTTCTCTTTCTCTTTCCCACCACAAAATGTCCATATG